TTTAGTTATTTTTTAAAATTTAAATTTACTCTTAGTGGTTTCTTGAATTGGATCTATGGCTCATTAATATTTACCTTTTCTTCTACTCAAAGCTTTTAAGTTTGTACATTTTCCCTGCTGCTTCAATATTTTCCAATTCTAAATACCAATTTTCATTATGATTTCCTTCTTTGTAAGCATATATAAGTATACTCTATAAATTTCCCATGAAGTTTTAAAATATTTTTGTATTGATTTCTCATGTAATTGCTTTTTTGGTTTGGTTTTGTTTTGTTTTGTCTTTGTACCAGGAATCAAACACAGGACCTGCTTGCCAGGCAGGAGCTTGTGTTGCTGAGCTGTATCGCTGCCCTATAACTGCATTTTGACCATATAGCCTGAGACTTGTTCATCAAAATAAATTAATGTTGATGTCAGTCGAGCCACACTCTCTGGCCTAGTACTTGTCAATTTTTAGAAATATTCTATGCTTAAACTGAGCATGGTGGCACATGCCTGTAATCCCAGCACTCAGGAGGCTGAGATAGGAGGATTGTCACAAGTTCCAGGAGGCCAATCTGGGCTACGCAGTAAGTTCAAGGCCAGCTTAGACTATATAGCAAGACCTTATCTCAAAACCAAAAAATGATAAAACAAAAAACAAAAGACAAAACAAAAAAAATGTGTGCTTGAGAAGAGTGTGTATTTACGTGCTTTTGCTAAGTGATTGAAGTGGGCTCTCTGTCCATTAGCTCAAGCTTTTCGAGCTTTGTTCAAGTTTTCTATAGTCTTACTAATCTTTAGTCTGCTTAATACTGAATGAGCTATGTTAAATTCTCCCCGTATAATGGCAGATTTGATTTTTCTCCATATAATTATGCCAGCTTTTGTTTCAGATATTTTGAGGCTATGTTATTAGGCTCACACAAATTTAGAGTTATTATATTTTCCCATAAAGAATTAAACATTTTCTCATTTTATAATGGCCCTCTTATAATCTTTATTTCTCAGCTGATGAGTTTGTGTAATTTATACTTGCTATGATTACTGAGATACTTGAATTTATTGCTGAAGTTTTATTTTATATTTTGTATATTTTATTTTTTCTGTGTGTGTGTGTGTTTTACTAGGGATTAAATCTAGAACCTTCACACTAAGCTGCATCCCCAGACTTTATTTATTTATTTATCTATCTATTTATCTTCAGGACAGGATCTCACTATGTAGCCCAGTTGGGCTTCAAACTCACAGTCATCCTCCTGCCTCTTTTTTTTCTTTCTTTCTTTCTTTTTCTTTCTTTCTTCTTTCTTTCTTTCTTTCTTTCTTTCTTTCTTTCTTTCTTTCTTTCTTTTTCTTTTTTTTTTTGTGGAACTGGGATTGAACTCACGCTCTTGTGCTTGCCAGGCAAATGCTTATTCTATTGAGCTATCTCTCCAGCCCCTCATTTTTTAAAATTTATTTTGAACCAGGTTCTCTCTAAGTTGCCCAGGCTGGGCTTGAATATGTGCTCTTCCTGCCTCAGTCTCCGAAGTAGCTGAGATTACAGGTGTGTGTCATAATGCCCAGCTCCCCCCACCAGGGGACAGCACAAACACAGTCCCAGTTTTTTAAAAAAGTTGTGTCTCATTTCCTGTCTTTGCTTTGAATTGATTTATTTAAATATTACATTCATTTTTTTCTGTAGTGGCTTGAGTTTCCATATTCCATTTCTATTTCTTTGTGTTGATTATTTTTAATTTTAAGTATATATTTAGCAAAGTTAATTAATGTCTACTCTCTTCCCAAATAACCATTTCACTTTATATGCTATCTAGTAGTGTAGTTCAGACCACTGCACCTTTTTGCTGCATATATTAACATAATTATCACTAACAGTCTGTGTTTGTTTAGATTTACTCACATATTTTCTGATTTATCTGTTCAACACTTTCCCTTGTGTTTCAAACCTTTCTAGGATACTTTTCTTGACATGGATACCTTAGAATTTCCTTTAATGAAAGAATGTCAGCCAGGTATGGTGGTGCATACCTGTAATCCCAATACTTGGGAGATTGAGGCAGGAGGATCACTGAAAGCTCAAGGCCAGCCTGGGATACACAATAAGTTCAAGACCAGTCTAAACTATATAGTGAGACCCCGAGTTATGTTTTGCTTAGTTCAGCCCTGAGGAATGGAACGCAGGGCCTCAGGTGTGCCAAGCTCTCTCACTACCACTGAGCTCCACCCAGGCCTTGAAAGAGAATTTTGCTGAGACCAGAGTTCTAGACTAGCAGTTTCCTCCCCCTCTGAACACACACCCATCCCATATATCACTGGGCAACTACTTGCTGTCACTTTAATTACTTTTCCTCACAGTGATTTGTCTTTTCTATCTGTTTGCTTTTACAGAGTTCTTCTCTTCTTTGGTTTGTAGTTCTGAACAGTAAACCTGGGTGTGTTTTTCTGTTTGTTTAGTCTGTGTAAGATTGTTGAACTTCCTGATTGACATAGTTTTGATTTGCAACCTACTGGAAAAACTCAGCTATTATTCCTTCAAATACTGCTTCCCTCCAGTTTTATCTGTTATCTCTTCCATGCCACTTAACCTTTGCTTGTATTTCCTTTATCTTTTAACTCAGTGAACTACATTCTAAATAATTTACTTGGCTCTGTATTCCAGCTCTTTCATTCTCACATCAGCTGTGTCTAATCTGTTTCATTTACCTGTTGCATGTTGTCTTTTTTTTTTAGACAGGGTCTTGCTATGCAGTTCAGAAAGGCCTTGAGCTCACTTTGTAGCCCAGGTTGGTCTCACGGTCTCACAGTGATCCCCCTGCCTCAGCCTCCTGAGGGCTGGGATTACATGTATGTGCCACCATGCCTGGCTTATTTGTTCCATTTTTTAAGATAATTTTTTCTTATCTCTCTCTCCTTCTCCCTCCCTTCCTCTCTCTCTCTCTCTCTCTCTCTCTCTCTCTCTCTCTCTCTCTCTCGCTCTCGCTCTCGCTCTCGCTCTCCTCGCAGGCAAATTTCACTCTTTATTATATGAAACTCTTCTATTCTCAGCCTCTTAGAGACTCAAATGGCTCAAGTCTTAGTGGCAAAAAGTCTTTGCCAAAACTAGAGCAAATTTTGAATTCAGTCTGGGAAAATTTTTATTTCTTAAGAGTACATTTCGTTCAGCTTTACTTGGTCATCTTTATGCCCTCATGGTTTCTTTTTATTTTTTATTTTTTTTTATTATTATTATTACTTTTGTGGAACCGGGGATTGAACTCAGGCCCTTGCACTTGCCAGGGAAGTGCTTATTCTACTGAGCCATCTCCCTGGCCCCTCATTAATTCAATGTCCTATTTCTGTGTATATTTATGATTTTCAAATGCGAATTCACATTTCTTAAAACTTTACCGATGGAATGGAGTTGAGTTTTTCTAGAGAACATATATGCTTTCTTCTGTAGCCAGTGTCATCTGGTTACCCTTCAAAATAAATCCTCTACTGTAGTTTCTCCAGACCACCGGTAGCCTCATTCCAGGCCTCACATCACCTTGGAGCAGGCTTAGTACACATTCTCAGGGTGGCCCCTCGCCCCGGCAGTGTTTGGCTCACCCTTGCAAGGCGTGCGCACGCGCCGACCTGGACACCCAGCTTCCTCTGGCCAATCTCCTGACTCTTTGCCTCTTTACCGCCTGGGCGGGCCCCCTCCTATCTGCGGTTTCTGTTGTGCGCTGCCCTCACGCAGGCAGCTCGAGGTCACATGCCTGGGTTTGGCAGACACACATGAAGCTGATGCCAACCTCACCTTTCACCCGGATTACAGCTTTCACTGTGCTTTTTGTGCACTATGAATGTCTTGCCAACTTGGGGCGTTCAAAGGGTACTTTCTATTTTTATCCCGCTTTGTAGTTACTTTCTTTGGGACATGTATTATTATACTCTGAGATGGATGTCTGGATGTTCTGCTTGCCTGCCTGGTCATGGGGCGTGTCCCTTTGAGGGGTCCACGTTGATGTGGAGAATTCACTGCCTGCTGCCTGCCGTGAAGGACCCCAAAACCTTGTCTTAAACCCAAGGGCCTTCTGTGCATTTTACTAGGTGCAAGCTACAATCTGTCACCCTTTCTACCTAAGTCTTGCTTTTTGTATGATTCCCTATATTTCTAATCTGGCTTTTTCCTTCGCTGAGCTTTTCTTTATCTGTGAAATGAGTGGCCTGAAGTAGGACAGGGAAAGAAGCATGGGCTGTGGTGAGGGCCCCCACGCCCAGTGTTGCTTTCACCAGAGCAGTTCAAATTTTACGCCTTTTTTTTTTTTTTTGTACAAGAAATTGAACTCAGAACCTTGTGCGTGCCAGGTTGGCACTTGTGCCACTGAGCTCAATCTCTAGCAATACACTTTATGTACTGAAGCTGGAGTAGGATTTATTTTGAGCAAAGTTCCTGTTTTAGCTACTTTTCATTGCTGGGACAAAGTACTCTACAACCACAAGTCAAAGGAAAAATGGTTTATTATAGTTAACAGTTTGTGGAGGTTTAGGTCCATAGTCAGCTGGCTTCAAGGCAGCGTGGCATGGCAGAGGGACATGGCAGAGGAGAAGCAGTCCATGACCGGAAGGAACAGCAGCAGCAGAAGCAGCAGTCTGCCTTCCATCTGTCCCTTTATATCCCTTCCAGGCTGCAAGCCTACTGGTTGGTGCTACCCATACCCAGGCTGTGGCTTCCCATTATCCACACCCAGAACTATGATAAACCAATTTATTTATCACCCCATAATCCACATATACACACACTGGGTCCAGCAATTTCCAAAAAGTGTCACCTGTAAGCACATGAGGCTTTGGAGTGACATCTAGACAGAAGCCATAATGGTGCCAGAGATCACTGATTTTCATGCAGGAGTCCTCCCTGAGCAAAGGTCCTGTCTCCTAGGCTCCAGGTAAAGATAGGAAGAGAAGGCATTTTTTTTCTGACCCAGCTGATCCCTGGAACTGTGGCAGACACTCCTCCCACAACCTCCTAATTCTGCTCCTCGCTCCTGCCTTAGGAAAGATGTTACCTCACTTGATGAGAGTGTTAATGCTGCCCATGCTGCTGCCCACCCTGGTCCATGCTGCCCCCAAGGATGGAGCTACAAGGTAAGAGGACTTGGGAGGACAGGACCATGGGCTAGGGCAGCAGCCATGGTCTCCAGATAACCCAATGGTATGGTAGGCCCCTTTGGGGGGCCAGGAGAGGTGGGTGTCTCTGTATGTCCCCACCCTAACCTTCTGCTTTCGTGCCTGCCAGGATGTCACAAAGTGGGCACTCAGTGCAGTCTGAAGTGCCAGGAAGAAGCTAAAACCAGGGCAGGGGCTGCAGTCCTATAATCAAGTACCAACAATGGGAATAAAGGTCTTTAGTACCCTGTTTCCATTTTATTAGAATTGCTCTCTGGAAGCCTTATTTGCGTTGTGCAGAGGATGTGCTGGGTAGGAGAGGAGACAGATGCAGGAAGAGCTGCCAGGGCTGGCAGCCATGACCAAAGTGGCTGCAGCAGACCTGGTCTACTGCGTGGCCCCATCCAGAAGTAGAAGCACATATTGAGTTTTAAAGGCTGGTCAGGAAAGTGAAGACTGAACCCCCCAGAAGACTGACACATGCACCTTCTGCTTGAAAAACAAAGGGGCATCTGTGTCATGGAGTGAACTGGGTCTGTGTGAACCTGGCAGTGCTACCAGGCTCCACCAGAGATCCAGCCTTTGGCTTTCACTGTCACAATTCACTGGCCATTCATTGGGCTTCTTCTTGGGCTTCCAACTTGTGTAAAACACATGTATGTGGCTTCACTTGGTCTCACCTGGCATTTTCTTTGGGTTTCACTTAAAGTTTAAATAAGGCATTTCAGAAAGAGTCCAAGGAAGTAAGGACCAGGAGGGCCTCTTCCTTACAAGATTTTTGGGAATTTGACACAGTACCTCCTTTGGGGATGGGGAGGGAACTGGGCTAGGAAGCTTGGGTGGAGGAGTGGGAGGCTAGGCCTCAGGCAGGCTCTCTGCAGGGCTGGTGCTTTCCTCCTCCTCCAGGCAGGACCTTGATGTGCAGCTCCAGCCCCTGCCCAACCCCTTCCAGCCAGGGCCAGAGCAGCTCGGGTGAGTAGCTGAGCTGGGGCCTTGGTATGCAAGCAGAGCTTGGGGCCTAGACTAGCCTCTCCCAGACTGATCTGCCCTTTTCCACAGAGTGCTGCAGCACCACCTAAAGGGACTAGAGAGAATGGAAGAGGACCCTGAGCACATGAACAGAGAACAGGGTGAGAGGCTGGGCTGGTGGACCAGGGTCCAGGACACCTGGGGCAGCCAGAGCTGGGCCTGACAGCTGGCTGCCCCATGCACTCCCACCTTCTCTACCTGCTCTCAACACCTCTTCTAACCCAGATTCTCTCCCTAGTTCTCCTCTACCTCTTTGCTCTCCACGACTATGACCAAAGTGGACAGCTGGATGGGCTGGAGCTATTGTCCATGTTGACAGCGGCTCTGGCCCCTGGAGCCGCCAACTTTCCTGCCAACCCGGTAAGCTCTACAGGAGGCCCTGCAGGGGATCCAGCTCCTTGGTGCTTTGGTCTTCCTCATCATGACTTTGGATGGATCTCCTGTAGAAGGGAGGCTCTGTGCCCGCATGACAGGGAAGGGGGGACATTGAGCAGGGGTGCTCCCGAGAACATCTCTGGTCCCTGGAGACCCCATGGTGACTCTGCTTTCACAGGTGATCCTGGTTGTGGACAAGGTGCTTGAGACCCAGGACTTGGATGGGGATGGGCTCATCTCCCCTGCAGAGCTCATCAACTTCCCAACAGAGGCCCCCAGGGACACAGAGCCCAGAGAGTCCCTTGTCCCAGCTCCCCATGAGACACAGGCAATGGAAGGGCAGCCCCTGTTAGCAAAGAACCCCTTGAGACAAGAAACTCAGCAGGCTCTGGGGCCCAGAGAAGTTGGGGGCCAGGAAGAGGCCAGGAGGGAATCCCTGGAGCCTATTCAGGAGGCTAGGGGTCAAGCAGGGACTGAAGGAGATACCCTAGGCCTGGAAGAGGGGAATAGGGGACAGGTAGAGGCCGAAGGAGAAGCCCCAAGCCCCAGAGGAGATGTTGGGGCACATGCAGAGGCCAGGAATAACGAGGCAGAAGCCGAAGAGCTTCTAAGGGAAACACTGGAGTCCAAGAATACCCCAGATGAGCTTGAGCCTCATAGTATTCAACTGGAGAATGATGAGATATAATCCTTGAGGAGACAGGCTTGAACCCTTCAAAGTCTTAGTGCCAGGATGTAAGCCTGAAGGGTGGGGTGTGTGCTAGGTTGAGGACCACCTCTGTGTCCCTTTCTGACCCCAGTAGGTGCCGGGCCTGTCCGTGCAGCTCAGGGAGATGCTATATTAAAGGGCATCTTTGGGGCCCAGACAACCAATAAAGGACAAAATGAATTCATCTGCTGGACCATCTGTCTACTGGTCCAGCCTGTCCAGAAGTCCTCAGGGGTTTAGGGACTGGACAGGCCTCTTAGGCACCGATTCAGCATTCCCAGTGTTCCTGGGCCCAGGGGTGCTGGACAGCAGAGCCTATGGCACTAGGTACGGTCAACCCTGGATATCCCATAAAGAAAGTTATTCTTGGAGCCCAAATCCTCTCCTTTTTCCCTGTACCTGGTATTCAGATACCTTATGCTCTCCTGCAGCTTAGGACACATGGCCCCCATTGCTTTGTATCTGTTCCCTGTGCTAGGAAATATTTTGGAGGTACTGGGGACTGAACCTAGAGTTTTATAATGAATTACATTTGCAGTCACCACTCCTCACTTTATTTTGAGAAAGATCTCACTAAGTTGTTAAGTTGCCTCAGCGGGGCTTGAACTTGATATCCTCTTGCTTCAGCTTCCCAGAGTGCTGGGATTGCAGGTATGTATAGCCATGCCCAGCTAGAGTAATACTAATAGGAACCTTTTTTTTTTTTTTTTTTTTTCTTCTGAGAAAGCCTAGAACACACCAGGCACTCTTCCTGCCCCAATTCTCATACCGGAAACAGCTCCCAATTCCAATAGTTCATAAAACCTTCTGTGGCTAGGTCCCATTTGTGGCTGAAGCACTGCCTTAACCATAAGGTGGGGCTTTCAGTTATTCCTGACTTAACTGCCAGGTGGGTTAAGGGAGTTTTGGACTGCTCTGCAGAGCCACATGGTAGGCTCCCTGCCCACTGCCCTTACATTAGCTCAGCCATGTGGAGCCCAGCTTCTGGAGCCACGAAGTAGAACGTGCATAGCACAGGAGCTTTGCTTTCTTTCTTTTCTTTCTTTCTTTCTTTCTTTCTTTCTTTCTTTCTTTCTTTTCTTTTCTTTTCTTTTCTTTTCTTTTCTTTTCTTTTTTAAATCTTATTTATTTGGTACAGGGTCTCACTATGTAGTTCCAACTCGGTGATCCTCATGTCTTAGCTTCCCCAGCACTGGGATTACAAGCACACTGCCACACCTGGTTTCAGTGGCTGGCATGGCGGCATGGAATGTGGTACTCAGGATTGAACCCAGGTCATTGTGCTTGCCAGGCAGGTGCTTAGACCACTGAGCTATCTCCATAGCCCCCAGGAGCTTTTCTTATAGCTTCTGATCCTAAATGTCTTCCCAGCCAGGAGGTCCAGTGTCTCCATCTCTCCATCTCAGCAGCTACTCTTGTCCAGGGATGGCTGAACCTCTTCATTTTGGACAGCCAGTGAAAAGGCTGCTGTGGCCAGGCAGAGGTAACGCCACTCGAGACGAGAGGGTTATTGTGTCAAAGGCTCAAGAATCTCCAATCAGAGCAGTTCGGGTGTCAAGTGGCGCTAAGAGAGGGCCAGAGGAAGCTGGTTCAGAGGAAGGAGGTTTATTTTTTCTGGGGCTCTGAAGACATGGCAGTGAGGATACAGAAAAAGGACGCAGGACACTCGTGAGTCCTTCCCATAACCCGTATCTGCCCGCGGAGCAGGGCAGCCTGGATGCCAGCCTGGATGGACGGGTAAGGCAGCAGCGGCGTGTGTGTCAGCCTCCAGCAGGGATGGTGAGCATGGCGCCTGTGCCAAGCAGCTCTCACACAATGCCATCAAACCCCTGCAAGCCACACTTCTTGCCTGCCACCTGGCAGCCAAACCTCAGTGCCTCCTGCATGCTGTTCCCTAAGGAGCATCACATGGCTAGATCAGCCTGAGGTTCTGCCCTGGGGGGTGCCCAGCCTTGCCCTTTCCTGCTGGGGCACTCACCCCGGGACAGACTGAAGATGACAGAGGCATTGAAGGTGTCTCCAGCGCCCAGAGTGTCTACTACCCGCGGTGGCGAGAAGGCATCTGAGTGGAGCAGCTGGCCATCAGGGCCCAGGGCATCGGCACCCTCCTCAGCCCAGGCACAGATAAGCGTAGCCCTGCAAAACCTCCACTTAGCTGGGTGTCGCCCACCTCATCCCTAGACCCATCCGGGCAGAACCCTGGAGTCCACCCCCAAGTCTCCCTAGGGCTTCTTCCCTGCTTCCCCACTCACCCCTTCCTCACACGACCATACAAGCCCCTCAGAGCTTCTGCGGCTGACTGGAAGCCCAAGTGCCTGGCCAAGTCTCTGCTGACAAACACCTGTGGGCCATGGAAGAGCAGTAGGTGGACCCCCGTGACTCTGGTCACTCACCACCACCAGTCTGGTGTTGCCTCACATTTTAATCTGACTCCCCCAACACAGCTGCATAAATCCCAGCAAGGCAATGTGCTGTTCCACAGAAATCCATCCTTATGCTTACCTAAAATAAAAAGCTAGAATACAGCCTTGTGCATTGTGACACCAGAGCCCTAGACCAGTGATCGTGAACGTATGACACATGTGCTGTGGGGGCGCACCGAGCATGCTCTGTCAGCACGCAAGCCAAGCCACCCCAGCAGCAGGGCATCAGATAACAGTTGTTTCTTCTAAGCTAAAACCTCAGTATTCATGTTTAATTTCAATGTTGTCATTTTGCAATAAATGAGTGGGTTTTGAGTTGCAATGTGGGTACTGGGTGTCTAAAAGGTTGGGTATCTCTTCTAGACTAGTTCTAGGGTAAATGAACTGAAGACCCAGAGAGAGCCTAGAGCGCCATCTAGGGGAGGAATCTACTCTGCCCAGTCACACTACAATGGCTGTCAGGAGCAAGCATTGTTTTGTTTCCCCAGCACAGCTACACCCTCTAGGTCTAGTTTCTTCACCTATAAAACAAATCAATAGGGAAGCTACACATTGGAATCTCCAGAGATTGTTTCGGTAGAAAACAGAAGCCTTGGCTCTACCCTGCCAATTAGATAAAAAGCAAGGGACTGGGAACGTAGCTGGGTGGTAGAGCATTTGCCCAGCACGTGTGAGACCCTGGGCTCATCCTACCAGTACTGAAACAAATACAGCCAAGAGAGTGGGGCTCAGGACTCCCATTAGTTAAAAAAAAAACAAAAAACAAAAACAACTCTGTTCACCAAGGTTGGGGATCAGTGCCGATGGCCTCCAGATAGCTGCAGCTAAGATCCTGGGATTATCACCTAAACTCCATTTACACCCAGTCCTGCCTACATCACTATGTCCTCACTCCTAGGGGCTCCCTCACCTGCCCAGAGTTGTAAGAGTCGACCACAGAGAACAGTGCGATGCCCTCATTTTGCAGAGGAAGAGAGGGGACTATGAGGTGATGCGTGGAGCTATCTGGCTCTTGTTCAGGCCCTCTGGGCATCTTTATTCCTGTGGCAGAAAAATTCTCCTTTTTGGCCACTGCACGTCCAGGTGAGAACTCTGCCACCTCACATCCCTGCACTCGAGAGCCTGACAATCTGAAGAACTGAGCTCCCTGGAGGCACTCACCACATCTCCATAGCCAAACAGCTGGTACAGCTCCTCCCGGGGCTTCTCTATCTCCACAGACAGCCGGATCTGCTGTTCCGGAGGCAGCTTGGCATTGTACTGTTCTACACGCTGCAGCATCTTCACCTGCTCTGATGCATTCCGGCCCTGGGGTGGGGTGGATGGAGCAGCTCAGTGTCCCCAGACCTAGCTCACTCCTCCCTCCCTGTGCAACTTGGAGAGGAAGGAAAGGACCCGGGAGGCTGGCCTGGAACCTATCCTAAATTATAAAACTCTTGGGGCTGGGGAGATGGCTCAGTAGGATAAATGTTTGACTGGCAAACACAAGGATCTGAGTTCAATCCCCGGTTCCGCAAAAACAAAAACAAAAAAAACCTCTTGGTTATCCTGGACCTCGAGGACCTTATCAACTAGCTCTCCCACTTCACTCACGGGGAGACTAAAGAATTAAAAAAAAAAAACAAAAAAAAAAACAACTTGGAGATTTAGCTCAGTGGTGCAGTGCCTCCCTGGCAAGCATGAGGTCCTGAGTTCAATTCACAATACACATCTCTTAAAAACAAAACAAACAAAAAAAAAAAAAAAAAAAAAACTCTCTGAAGGACCTCTAGGAAGCTAAATGACAGGAGTATGATCAGAACTCAGGACTTTTCAACGTTTGTTCTCACCCACACCCCACAACTTCTTTGGAGCAAAAGTTCTAGTTCCCTTTGCTTGTTTGTTTTGGAGTTTTTTATTTGTTCATTTTTTGTTTTGTTTTATTTTTTTAAGACAGGATCTAGTTAATGTTGTTCAGGCTATTTCTGAACTCACTATGTGGCCTAGGCTGGCCTTGAACTTGCAGCACTCCTTCTGCCTCAGCCTCCCCAGCGCTGGGATTACAGGTGTGCACCACCATGCCTGGCCAGTTCCCTTTTTTGGAAGCTGGGTCAGGCCCTCTCATTCCTACCTCCTCAGAGGTAAAGAACATCAAGCCCCAAGGAGCCAGTCTCTGGCCAGAAGGGAGCTGGGGGAAGTGAGGCAGCCGTAACAAAGACACAAACAAAACTTTGGGCTTTGCTTAGCACCAACAATGCCTACAGCCTGCTGTGTCACCCAGACCTTCTGGTCCTTATTTTCCTTACTGGAAAACATAAAGAAGGATGGAAAGGGAATGTAGAAAGGTAGATTCATTTATCTCTAAGATACTTCATGGTTTATGGAAACCAACAAGGTGGGAGAACAGATCCTATCTAGAAATAGGACAGGGCTTGCCTCAATGTGGATCCACTTGAACCGCGTCAGATCAACCTTCTCAAAGTCCTTAGCAGACACATCTGGCAGGTTCCTACGTCACAAGATGGAAAGGATAAAGAAGAGCATGGTGAGCTCAGCCATAGCTAAGATTTTGGACTGCTGGGGACCCTGTGTGTACTAGCGCTGCTGGCAGCAAGGCAGGAAGCTGAAAAACGCAGAGTTTTCAGACTTAGCTAAGGACAATCCCTGTCCTGCTTAGCTGAGGTTCCCCTTTCTGAGTTCCATGTTGTGATGTTACCTAAGGGTTACCTTAAACTCAACGGCTACACATTAAGGGACTAATTCTGGGTGCCTAGAAGACTGTATCTCTCAGAAGGCTCTGAGTACCAGGGACTATACTTCCCAGAATCCCTCCTTGTAGGCAAACAACTCCCAGCATGCAATGCCCTGGTA